GCGCCCCGCTGTGCCAGCTCCGCCTGCGCCTCCTTCAGCTGCTGCTTCAGCAGAGAGATCTCTCCCGACTTCTGGCACACCTGTGGGGACAATGGGGCTCAGACACTGGCCAGGAACCCCTGACCACAGCCTGCACCCCCTGACATGCCTGGTGCTGCCAGATGACTCACCTCCCACTTGGTCTCCTCCAGCCGGGGTGCCAGCTCAGTGCGCTCCCGCTGGAAGGAGGCGCAGCGCCGCTCCAGCAGCTCCCGCTCCTGCAGAAGCTGGGCCAAGTCCTCCTGCAGCTGCTTCTTCTCCTGCTGCAGCTGCAGCACCTGGAGCTGCAGGACCTGTTGCCCCCGCTGCGCCGCGTGGGCTGCCTGCCGCGCCTGGGCCACACAGCGCTGCCGCAGCCCTTCCAGCTCCTGCTCACACCGACGCTGCTTCTCCTCATACACCTGGGCCATAGGATGCACAGGTGCTGGAGAGGCAGCACAGCATGCCCCCACTTCTGTTGTCCTCTCCAAGATCGGCATCACACAGAGGGGGCAGTGCATCTCCCCAGATGGAGGAAGGGTCCAGGAAGTGTGGTACACACCTCCTTGTGCCCCTCTATCCCTCTGCATGATGGGCCCCCCATGTCAGCACTCCCAGAGCCTACAGGGCTCCCTCAGCCCCATCACCAACAGGGAGAAGCCACAAGTCTCAGGCTCATTCAAAAAAGGGCACCCCAAGATAAAGTACTCCAGTCCATACAACTGGCCCCATGGGCCATACAAGACCCTCCCAGGGACTATATAGGACCATTCAGCTGGTGAGAAAAACCCACATACCCAGATCCACAGGAAAAAGCACCCCCTACAAGAGTCTGTAAAGGGTCCCTATTCCCAGCCAAGGGAATTCCCATGCCCCAGGGAGGGAGACAAGAACAGGACAGGGGGACATCAGGGACATACCTGGCAAATGGCCACCTCGTTCTCGTCCAGGCTGTCACGCAGGAGCCGCAGCTCGGCCTCCCTCTCCCGTAGCTTTTCCTCCAGCTCCCGCACCAGCAGGGCCTCCTCACCAGGCAGAGGCGAGCGCCCGCAGGAGCCACTCTCTGAGGAGGGCCGGCCTCGGCCGCTCAGCGAGCCTGTGCTCTTGCTGGAGGATGAGCGCCCGCTGTCCGAGTTGGAGGGGCGGCAGCCCACCGGTGGATCAAGGGGGCCATGGGGGGTGGTCGGCAGAGCACCCACCTCTGGGTGCTGGCTGCAGCCCGTGCTGTAGGTGGGCAGGCTGGAGAGGGAGTTGCGCCCAGAGTCTGAGAGGGTGCTGGCACGGCAGCTCAGAGAGCCAGGCTTTTCAACACCCAGCAAGTGGGTGAGGCTCACCTGGCTCTCCGAGAGCCCCAGGCGCGTGCCTGGCTGGGCACTCCGAAGCTTGGATACCACTGGCTTGAAGGCCATGGGGCGGATCAGGGTTTTCTCCACATTCTGTCAGGAAAACAGGGGAGAGTGAGGGGTTGAGGAGGACCCACCACCCTCAAGAAAGGCTGCCTTGGACTGTGATGAGGGGTGCTCCCAGCCCAGATGCCTTCACATCCCAAAGAAGACAAAGGCCAGTCACCACTCACTCCACCCCTTTTCCATGGGGTGCCCAAGTGGGTTCCCCAAACCCCCTGGCACAGAGAGGACATTAAGAGCATGGGGACCACCACTTCCCAAAGGACACCATAAGTGTGGTCATGTGACCCCAGTTCATACATCTGAGCCAACAGTCCCAGTATGGCATGGGGAGTAAAGTCAAGACCCCAGTACCCACCCACCCTGCTGCTGCCCCCCCCACCTCTTCCAGCTTGCCAGAGACGGGGATGAGCTTGGGGGGCGGCCCTCGAAGGTGATCACTTGGTGCTTGGTCATCACGGAGCTCATCTGAGTCACTGCAGGGGCTAGCAGGAGAGGAGGCATCAAGCCAGTCACCACAGAAGCCACCGTTGGCATAGGAGTGGGTGACGATGGGCACAGACACGCGGGGCTCCTCAGGAGTGGCCTGGAGCAGCCCCTCCTGCTTGCAGAAGGTGGTGGAGGGATCCCCATCACAGGGCTGGCTGGTGTGGTCATGGCGAGGCCGGACGGGCAGGAGGCTGCCCACACTGCCCATGGTGGCAGGGGGCGAGCAGGCAGCGGCACGGAGCTGTGTGGCTCCCTCAGCAGCAGCCTCAAGGGGCACTGGCAGAGTCTGCACGATGGCCATGACGGGGGGGCCCCCGGCAGGCAGGGGCACACAGGCAGCCTGCAGGCAAGGGAGACAGGGTATTAGAGCTGTGGGTACCACCGGCCATGCCCCACCGGATGCCAGCATCCCCAGCTGGGCACAAGGGCACTCCCAGGTTCCCAGCCACCATCCCCTAACTTGTGGGCATGGGCTGGCCCAAGGGGAAGCAGTCAGAAGGAGATGCCAAATGAGCCAGAACAAAATCGGGATTAGTTGGAGGAGCAGTACCAGCACCCCCCAAGTTGTGCTCAGCACCCCAGTGGAGAAGCGTGGGGCTGCCAGGGGCTGTGGGGTGCTGGTAGCACTGTAGGGCAGCAGTGATGCGGTCCTGCCTCCTGCCATGCCCTGGCGTGACCCTGCCATGGGAAGCGTGCCAAGACTGGAGGCGAATCCCGAGAGGCCTGCAGAGAGCCGGCTCATGTGCAGCCTGCCGCCTGCCTGCCCCATGGCACCCACCAGTGCAGCCCTGCAGAGAGTGAGGGACAGACTCACACTCCAGTGTCAGCCACCTCCTTGGCCCCACAACCCTCACCTCTCTGCAGTGACCCCACAGAGAGTGCCCCCCACCCCCAACCATCCACAGTGGGGCACAAGGTCCCCTGGAGAGGGCAACCAAGGGGGAAGTTGTCTGGTGGGCACCAGGCTCTTTCCCAGCCCTAACACATGGGGGCTTGTTCCCATCCCCTCCAGTTGGGGGGCTCTGCTAGTGCTCTGCTGTGACCTCCGTGCCCCCCCTGCTCCAACCCATGCCATACGCCTGCGTGACGGGAGCCGGCCGACAGGCCAGATCCATCCCCCGCTGCCTCATTGCATCTCGCACAGGGCTGCGGCTGGCACAGGGCACGGGGGGGGGGGGGCCGCTGCCCGCACGGTCTCTCCCGCCGAGCTGTCACCTGAAATCAATCTGCCTGCCAGCGCCCGGGGAGGGGCGAGCAGCGGAGAGATGCCGGCGAGCCAGCCCCCCCGCATCCGTCACCCCCACCGGCACGTGCCATCTCCAGGCACCGTGACCTCACACCATGCTCCTGATACCCTTGGGTGGGAAGATGGGTGACCCCCACCACTGGCTCCGCTCACCTCGCCAGCCGCTGCCCATCCGTCCGGTCCACTCAGGCCTCCACACCATAAACACGGCTCCGCCGGCCCCTGGAGCAGGAAGGAGGAAGAGGAGGGGGTCAGGGCACAGAACGGCAGCAAGGGTTCCTGTGTCCCCGCTGCCTCCCCGTCCAAGCCCCCCCGGCTGGCGGGGCCAGGGCAGATGGTGCCAGCGTGTCACTGAGGGTGGCAGGGGAGCCCGGCGTCGGGTGCGCTGTTCCAGGGTGGAACCCTGGGTGGGCTGCGGTTACCCCGGGAGGGGGGTGGGGACAACAGCCCGCCACGGGGACCTGCTGCTGCCGGAAGAGCAGGAATAAGGGATCAGGACCCCCAGAGGGACATCTCATGGCCCGCCAGCGGCAGCCAGCCAAGGCGCAGTACCCCACCCCAGCGAAACGCCCCTGGGACGTGTGGGTCAGGGGGACGGACGCCCCCGGGGACAGTGGGGCCCCACACAGCACGGAGGGGGCACTGCCTCTGACGGGGCCCTGCCAAGCAGGTGGTGGGACCAGACTCCATCTTCTCCCTCCCGCCAGCCCTCGGGTCCACCGAGAGGGTCCCACCACTGTCCGGGGAGGGAGGGGCTGCCCAGCCGCCCAGGAAAACCAGTCAGCAACTGGGGTGGCGTCACCACCAGCCACTCCGGCTGGACCACAGCGTTGCCGGATCCCACCGTTCCAACCCCGAAATGTCAAGGGAAGGCTCGGCCCCTGCTCAGCCAGATCCCCACTCTGAGCAGCTGGGGGTTCTGGGCCCCCAGGGATCCCCATGACTCGACGGCACCAAAGGACCACTCCAGAGCAGGGGGAATCAGCCCCTCGTCCCTCCCCACACACCTGGCACATGTGGGATGGACACCCTCCATGCCCAGCTGTGCCCCTCTCTGGTTCCCCCAGCATCCTGAGGTTCCTTCGATGGTGCTGCTCCCCTTGTCCGCTCGGAGCCACTCCGCCCCACTGAGCCCCACAGCACCCAGCCTGCCCCACGGTGCTTCCACCCACCCCAACCCCACAGCATCCTGAACCGCCCCAAGGCGCCCGTGAGCCCCGCTGCCCCACAGCTCCCCCACAGTGCCCTAAACCGTCCCCAAAGTTTTGCGACACCCCCAAAATGCTCCACGGCACTCCCGGGCCTCTGCTGCCCCACACCTCCCCGAAGTGCTCCTAAACCACCCCCAAAGTGCTTCAAAAGACCC